CTGGGAGCGCCTTGGGATCCCCCAGTCAGAGCTGGTTGATGTGGCCAGGGAAAAGAAAGTGTGGGGCTCTCTGCTGGAACTGCTACCTCCGCGACCCGACCACGGATAAGCGGGAGAAGATGGATGGATGGATGGATGGAGGTGAAAGGTCGACTGAATTCGTTTTTAGAGTGTAGTTATTTAAATGTTAAATAAGTTCGTTTTCATGATATACATTTTTCATCGCGAGTAAAAATCATTGCAAAACATTCCCCATTTCACACAAATGTCATGTTCTTAAAAAATAGTTCTGGCCGTTTCTAGAAAAATCCTAAATGAATATGTTAATTCATTAAATGACCATTTTACATGTGGCAAATGTTTTCAAAAGGTGACTAGCCAATGTTGAAATAAGGTTGGGAAATCAATTTAGCTTTCATAAAAGTATAAATTATTTTCATTTTGTTAACATTTATCTTCAAAGTGTAGGCTTTGCTCAGTGTTTAGTTCTGACAGTTTTAACAGTTTTTCGTTTTCTTTCTTGATCTACTTCATCACATGACCCACACTCACAATTAATGTCACACAAAGCTCATGTGATCTCACATGACATTCACATGCTACTTCCAGATGTGAATCACCTCCTGAGGTAAATTGGAAAAACTCTGTAACTGAACTCGTGGTTTCCTCTTACCTATGCCTTAGTACAAGACAATACATGTTCAAGGAGTAAATAAAGGTTTCACGACCTTTGAAGTTCAACTGAGATTAATCGGTTTGTAATAAAAAGACAGGTAGGGCTTGAGCCGTCACGCATTAGTCACACAATAATGTTTTTTATTGAGCTTAGAAAACCTTTTTTTTCACCTGCAACGTGCAACAACATAACAAATCTTATGTAGCTTTTATGCAATAAATTGTTTTAAAAAATCTAATTTCTCTTACTGAATGAATTGAACTTTAAATTTAACTTGATTTATGTGAGGTAGTTTTTTTTATAAATGTTTGTAACTACATTAGTAAAATAACAATATAAAATGTACTAATATTTCCTAAAATTGACATTATAACTGTATATCTAATACTATATTACACTATGACACAGTATACTAGTGTACACTATGATATTACTCCCCTCATACACTTTGCTGTTGACCAAAGCACATTGTGATTATAAATAATATGGACCCTTATTTACAATAATCACATTGAATTATGGATTTATGAAAGTAATAGGATTAAAAAAAGCTGAGCTGTCGACCCTGGGCAGCACATTTGGCGGTCAAACATTTATAAAATATATGAATGTTTGTTGTTTTGTCATTTAATACAAGACAGCTTTTTTTTATAAAGCCTATAAAACCTCCAGAACAAAGTGCTGTACAGTCAAATAAACAAACAAAACATACAAAAAAACACAGAGCACTGCTCGCACACCATAAAACAAGTACAAGTAAAAAACAATAGACAATTTAAATGCAATAAAAGCAACAATCTAAAAGATGTCAATACGCTAAGGAGAAGAGGTCCTCATTGTGTTTTCTCCTGAAAGAAGTGCCTTCACACTCAACTCGATCTCAACATGTAAAAGGACAATATATATTTTATAATTTTTGAAAGAGATCATTAGTATCAAGCAGCCTTTATCACGATCTTAAAATGTAAAAGGACAATATATATTTTATAATTATAACCTTTATGATATCATACACCTTTATGATGACCTGATGTATGATAAACACAACCCTGTTTTGCTCTGAACAGTACAAGGTGCACGGGACTGCATGCTTTGCGTTGCACCTTGATTTATGACAGTGTTATCTGTAGCCATTGACTCAACCCATACTCATACACATGACCAGGAAACCAAAGGAAGACAAAGCCTTACTCTGACTCAGCACAAAGTGTGGAAACAGTGAGTGTGCAGAAACACTTAATGCAGATCCCCTGAGCTCACTTGCTTTATTGACCTCCCCATGAGATGCATTCATTTGTCTGGCTCTTTGAGTGGTCTGCTAAATCATCAGAAAAGCTGAAAAATCACATACATTTCTGATGATTTAGCAGACCACTCAGCGCATACTTATATTAGTCATACGTTCGGATATCAAAAGAAGATGTGGGATATTGTTCATCTGGTTCAGAGATCCTGCGAATGTGGAGCAGGAAGTACATGGAACACCTCTGGCTTCAACCAGCGGTGTTAAATACCACCAATGAAGTGTAGTCATGACATGCTCAGAGCTTGTTAAGTGTTACTAATTGCACCCTAAAGCATGAATCATATATTTGTACATGGTGTGCACAATCAGTGCCAAATGTGAATGCCTCAAAACTCCAACTAGTGAGTCAGAGTTAGTGTCATTTGGACTATTTTGTTGATAAAAACCCAAATAATGTGGCATTGATATTTTTCTTGACGGAGAGGGAGGAGCAGAGGGGAGATACTTGGTCACCAAATGCTGAGCCAGAGAAACAAAGAGTTCTGAACAAGGAAAGTTTGCTTTGCAATGTCAGAAAAATGCATTTCAGGTGAATGAAAATGTGAGTGATGTGCATGTGAGTGCAGAGACATGTAAGAGATAAGATAAGATAAGATGGAAATTCAGGCGTTTATAGCAGCAACAGGGTCAGAGTGAAAACAGGATTCACACAAGGTAAAAAATAAAGATAAAATAGAATACAAATAAAAATAACGATACAAAAAATAAAAATAAAGCGATAAAATAACTGTTGAAACAACATATCACAGTAAAATGTTGAGCATGTGAATGGACATAATCATATTTGGATTGTTAATGTTAATGTGTGTGTGTGTGTGTGTGTGTGTGTGTGTGTGTGTGTGTGTGTGTGTGTGTGTGTGTGTGTGTGTGTGTGTGTGTGTGTCAGACAGCACCTTTGTTTTGACATTTCTTCAAGTCCAGTCCAAGTCCAAGTCCAAGCCCGAGGATCAGGGTCACGATGGACACAGCCAAGAGACATATCTGTGACACACAGACACAAATTCATTTCAGTTTTTTTTTAAATGCCTTAGTGGTGAAATGTAATAAAGTACATGTTTTCAAGTGCTGCACTTAAGTCCAACTTGTAGGTACTTTGAGGGATTTTACTTTTTACTTTCTGTGCCACTCAACTTCTATTCTAGTGAAATATTGTATTATATATTTAACAAATTAAACTAATGAAGATCTGTTTTGATGTAGATTAAACTGTCCAACATTGTATTTAGGTACACCTTAAACAATGAGTGGGTTGACTGTATTGCCAGAAATTATAGTGATTGTTGAAGACATTTTACAATTCCATCTTTTCAAATGTCAAGATTTGCCGCATTTCTTCATACATAATCATTTATTTTAAATACTTTAAAGTTTTTCTTCTGAAGGCTTCTCATGCCTCCAGATGACATCTCTCCTTGTTTTCTTCACCCAAAGCTGATGAACCTGGCTCAGGAGTCTGCAAGGCGTCTGACAGAGCGGTGCAGTCTGCCTCCAGCTCCAAAAAGGTTGACCCACGACATGTGGTGAAGCAGGTGGTGAAGCAGGTGGTGATGCAGGTGGTGCCAAAAGTCCTGCAAGGCTTCTAGTCGCCTCCTGGAAGCACCTTCCTCAACATGCCTTCCCAGAAGCTCGGATAAATGGCTGTTGGTGTCACAAACTGTGTTTTGGCCAAGTCTCCTCTGCTTTGTCCACTGTGCAGCATCAGGTCACCTTCTCTCACTCCCCAAGATGCCATGGTCCTGTCGATCCAGGGAAAGGTTCGGCAGATGAACCCAACTGCTGATATTCGGAGGAGGGAGATCAACTCCTTTCCAGCACAGAGGCAGAACACCATTGCTGATGCTGCATCGAGGACGTCTCTGTTCGGTTTCAGCCTCGAGGTGACACACATGTGGCAGAAAACTCAAAGCTGGCAGATAAAGTGGACGGTGCAGAGACCATTCACACCCAGGCGCAGTCTACCCAGAGAAGATAATAGAGTCGTATAATAAGTTGTTTTAAACTGAGTAAAGCGGATTCCAAAAGAAAGACTGCAGTGTTCTACCAACATCTACTGATAAATATAATATAATACATGTTTTTCTGTTCAGTGGCTGATGGATGCATGTGACAGAATGCTGTCTCATTTTTAGATTTGGAACTTAAAGCCATCTTTATTTACCTGAACAAACTGATAACTAGCCAATATTCAAGCTTTACCTTTCTTAGATTGAGGAGGACTCAACTCCCTTGTTGGGTCAACACATTTTTTTAAGCTGCCTTTGAAAGCCATATAAGAGAAAACACATGAATTAGCCAAATCATGGATTATATAAAGCTCCTACTCTAGAATTTAGTGTACAAAAACATATGTATGCTTTTCCCATTGCTATCAATTAAAAATCAAAGCAAGTACTTACAATAATCTTCTTCTTTTTAGACGACTCCATCCAACCCATGGCTCCTATGAGTGTTGCAGTCACAAATCCTCACCACACAGACAGGCAGATAGAGGTAAACACATTCACTACTGGTGGAAAAAGGCAGTGGAGTATCACCTTAGTGACCCTTGGACTAGGTGCGAGCAATAAATAAGTAATAGATTGCTCAGATGCGTAGATGTTGTCCATCAAACCTCATATGATAATCTCAATCTCAATCTTTATTTATTTATATAGCACATGCCAGTGCGAAGAGGTGAGTTTTTAGCTGAGATTTAAAAAGTTCAATAGACTCAGCAGTCTGGATATGTACTGGGAGGCTGTTCCACAGTCTGGGAGCTGCAACACTGAAAGCCCTGTCACCTCTTTTTTTTTCCTGCACCGAGGAACCACCAACATATTTTGCTGAGCTGATCGCAATGCTCTAGCTGGAGCATGGCGGTGCAACAACTCAGACAGGTAATGTGGTGCCAGTCCAAGCAATGATTTATAAACAACAGGTACTTGAACTGGATCCTGTAACTGACAGGAAGCCAATGAAGATCCGCCAAAACTAGTGTGATGTGGTCATAGCGTCTCTTCCCAGTAAGAAGTTGTGCAGCCGCGTTTTGGGCCAGCTGCAGGCGACGGATCAAACACTTATCAACACCAATATACAAGGAGTTACAATAGTCTAAACAAGACGTTATAAATAGGTGGATTAGCTGTTCAAATTCCTTACTAGGAAGATAGGCTTTTACCTTCCCTAGAAGCCGCAGCTGGAAGAAACTTGTCTTGACAACTGAGCTTATTTGTTCGTCAAATTTAAAACAGTTGTCAAAGATGACTCCAAGATTTCTGACAGAGGGACAGCTGTAGGAGGCTAAGGGGGCAGAATACACTATTAAAGCCATCCAGGAGTTCACACTGTCCAAATATTAAAATCTCTGTCTTGTTTTCTTTGAGAGTCAAGAAGTTGATTTCCATCAATGATTTAATGTCTTTCAGACAGCTAAGATGGGCAATCCTGGATTCCTTATTTGCTTTTATAGGAAGGTAAACCTGCAAATCATCTGCAAAGCAATGGTACAAAATGTTATGCTTTTTAAAAATTGACCCCAGAGGTAGTAAATACAGACTGAACAAAATGGGGCCTAGGATATAATTAGAAGTTGCCATTATTAAACACATTGGTGTTATCAAATGATCGGGATTAATAAACAGACAATAAACAGACAGCGCGAAAACTTTCACAGGGGATGTGTCAGAGCTGATACAAATACAATCTTTTACTTTTAGTTTATTTGTATTTAGAAAATTAAATCATT